TCTCAGGTACTGCGTCGGCTTCGGCCTCCCACACCTTCACCCTTGACTCGGGGGCTTCTCGCTCCTTCTTTCGAGACCGCACCACACTCACTCCGCTTAGTCGGCCAGTTGCAGTCTCTCTGGCAGACCCCTCTGGGGGTCCTGTCCTTGCTCACTTCTCCACTGTCCTCCCGTGTCCGGCGGCCCCCTCTGGCACCCTGTCTGGTCTTTACCTCCCCTCGTTCTCTACGAACTTGGTGAGTGGTGCTGACCTACAGGATGCGGGGGTTCACCAGTTCACTCCTGCGAGCCAGCGGGTGACCCACTGCACGGACGCTCGGACAGGCCGACACCTGGCCACGTTTACACGTCGGCCGGGGTCGAGCCTGTACACACTGACCACTGCGTCTCCTCTAGTCACTGCGTCTGGTCAGGTAGTTGCGTCGGGTCAGGTGTTTGCTGCGGCGTCCAGGTCTGGTCCTGAGTCTGCCCCCTGCTCGTGTCGCCTCCTGTCTCACGAGACTCTCCTCTGGCACCACCGCCTTGGTCACCCCTCCCTGCTTCGTCTCCGAGGCATGGCCTCCCGTGTCCTTGTCTCTGGTCTTCCCCGGTCCCTCCCTCCCCTTCCTCCGGGGCCTGCCCCTACCTGCGTCCCCTGTGTCGAGGGGCGGCAGCGGGCTGCCCCTCACTCCTCCCAGTTTCCTCCGACAGAGGCCCCACTGCAGACGCTTCACATGGACGTGTGGGGCCCGGCCCGCGTCCGTGGACAGGGTCACGAGCGCTACTTCCTGCTGGTGGTTGACGACTACTCGCGTTACACCACAGTCTTCCCCTTGCGCAGCAAGGGTGATGTCACTGAGGTGTTGATCGACTGGATCCGCGCAGCTCGTCTCCAGCTCAGGCAGAGCTTCGGCTCGGACTTTCCTGTTTTGCGTCTGCACTCTGACAGAGGCGGAGAGTTCTCCTCTGGCCTTCTGCGAGCCTACTGTCGTGCACGAGGCATCCGCCAGACCTTCACGCTTCCGGACTCTCCACAGCAAAATGGGATTGCTGAGCGCCGCATTGGCATGGTCATGGACGTCGCCCGTACGTCCATGATGCATGCGGCTGCCCCCCATTTTCTGTGGCCGTTTGCGGTTCGGTACGCGGCGCATCAGATCAACCTTCAGCCCAGGGTCTCCATGCCGGAGACCTCCCCAGCTTTGCTTTGGACGGGGAAGGTTGGCGATGCGTCTGCGTTCCGTGTCTGGGGATCTCGGGCGTTTGTCCGCGACTTGTCTGCGGACAAGCTGTCCCCTCGTGCTGCTCCTTGTGTCTTCCTTGGCTTCCCCCCTGACGCGCCAGGGTGGCAGTTCTACCACCCCACCTCTCGCCGTGTTCTGTCCTCCCAGGACGTCACGTTTGACGAGTCGGTCCCCTACTACCGCCTCTTCCCCTACCGCACTCCGTCCCTCCCCCCGCCACCGCTCTTCCTTGTGCCAGGTCCCCCCCCCGTAGACCCCCTTCCCCCTCAGGGTCCTGCCCCTTCAGGTGTGTCCCAGGTAGACGCAGTCGAGCCTGTCGAGGTTGCTGGTGACTCTGGTGCTGCTGAGGGTGCTGAGCCTGGGAGTGCTGACTCTGGGGGTGCTGAGCGTGTGGGTGCTACGCCTGGGGGTGCTACGACTGGGGGTGCTACGACTAGGGGTGCTGAGCCTGGGGGTGCTACGACTGGGGGTGCTGAGCCTGGGGGTGCTACGCCTGGGGGTGCTACGCCTGGGGGTGCTACGCCTGGAGTTGCTGAGCCTGGGGGTGCGGAGCCTGAGGGAGCTGGGCCCGCTCGCGTGGCGTCTGGCGGTACTGTGCCTGGAGGTTCTCCGGGTGCTTTGTCTCGGCGGGAGCCACTCTCTCCACCGGAGCTGCGCGAGTGGTTTGCCCGGCGGTGGAGGCGTGCTGCTGGAGCTGGAGGTTCTTCGGCTGCTGAGGGTGCTGGTGCCGCGGGTCCCGGAGGTGCTCGTACTGGGAGTACTGGAGCTGCTGGGCCTGCGGGTACTACTGGAGCAGGTGCTACTGCGTCTTCTCGTGGTCCGACTGGAGCTGGAGCTACTGAGGGTGTTGACGCTGAGGCTACTGCTGTCGGTCCTGGAGGCGGTCCTGCTGGGGGTGCTACTGGTGCTGCTGGAGGTACTGGAGCTGGAGGTGCTGCTGGCGCTGGTGCTACCACTTGGGGTACTGGTGCTGTCCCTGCTGTGTCTGGAGTCGCTGCGCGGCCTCGACCGTACTTCGTTCTGCTCCTTGAGCAGGTTCTTGGTCTCCCGCCTTCTCCTGTTCCTCCTCCTCCCTTAGAGTGTCCACAGCCTGTCCCGTCACAGTTACAGTTACAGCCGGCCTTCCCACTGCCTGCTCCTTCTCCCTACACTGGTCCTACTGGAGGTCTTGCTGAGCGTCGTGAGCCTGCGTCTCGCCCTGCGTCGCCTGTCCGTGCTGCTCGCACTAGTGGTCGTGGTTCGCGTCAGCGTCCTCCTCCTGTCCATGGCACGCACCGGATGTCTCTGCGTCCGTCCACTGCTCCTCTGCGTGCCCCTTTGCCTTCTCCTCCTGAGTCCTCTCTTCCTGCTCTTCCCGACCCGGAGTCGGACTCTCTTCGTGCTGCCAGTCCTACTGTCACGCGTCTCCTTGCTACTGTTGTCACTGACCCTTCCTTTGAGTCCGCTGCTGCGTCTGCCCTAGTTACTGAGCTCGTCGACTTTGCTGCTCGCTGTCGTCTAGACTACGCTGCTAGTCTTGTTGCTGAGTCTGAGTCTGTCTGTCCTCCGTCCGTCGGGGGTGAGTGTGCCCTTGGCACGGACGTCCTTGAGGACAGGCAGGAGGAGTTCCAGTGTTTGGCTGCTGTTTCACCTCATCTCGTGTCCGTACTGCTTACCCCTGAGGGAGACCCGGATGCACTTGACATCCCGACTCCGCGCTCCTACGCGGAGGCGATAGAGGGTCCCTACTCCTCGCAGTGGCAGGCAGCCATGGACGCAGAGATGGCTTCCTGGAAGTCCACAGGCACCTACGTTGACGAGGTTCCCCCACCTGGGGCGAACATCGTCAGTGGCATGTGGATTTTCAGGGTGAGGCGGCCGCCGGGTTCTCCGCCTGTCTTCAAGGCGCGTTACGTGGCTCGTGGCTTCAGTCAGCGGCAGGGAGTTGACTACTTTCAGACCTTCTCTCCCACCCCAAAGATGACCACTCTTCGGGTACTGCTGCACATAGCTGCTCACCGTGACTACGAGCTGCACTCTCTTGACTTCAGCACTGCTTTCTTGCAGGGCAGCCTGCACGAGGAGATCTGGCTGCGTCGCCCACCTGGCTTCACTGGGTCTTTTCCTCCTGGCACCCAGTGGAGCCTCCGGCGGCCAGTCTACGGTCTCCGCCAGGCACCACGTGAGTGGCACGACACACTGAGGTCTACACTTGCGGCTCTTGGGTTTGCTCCCTCTACTGCCGACCCGCCGCTGTTTCTGCGCACCGACACCTCTTTGCCGCCGTTCTACATCCTCGTGTACGTCGATGACTTGGTCTTTGCCACAGCTGACACTGCTGGACTCGCCCACGTGAAGTCCGAGCTGCAGAAGAGACACACGTGCACAGACCTGGGTGAACTGCGCAGCTACCTTGGCTTGCAGATCACCCGGGACAGAGCACGCCGCACCATTACCCTGACTCAGTCACACATGGTGCAGCAGGTCCTTCAGCGCTTCGGCTTCACGTACTCCTCGCCTCAGGCCACTCCTCTGCCTACTCGCCACTCGCTCTCAGCTCTGCCTTCGGATGAGTCCGTAGAGTCGAGTGGCCCGTACCCAGAGCTTGTTGGCTGCCTCATGTATCTGATGACCTGCACACGACCTGACCTTGCATACCCTCTTAGCATTCTCGCACGCTATGTTGCTTCTGGGAGACACAGACCGGAGCACATGGCTGCAGCGAAGAGGGTGTTGCGCTACTTGTGCAGTACGTCGGGCATGGGGCTTGTACTTGGAGGGCAGAGTCCAGTGGTCCTCACTGGGCACGCAGACGCTTCTTGGGCTGACGACCAGGCTACGCAGCGGTCGTCACATGGTTACACCTTCAGCCTTGGTTCCGGCTCTGTTTCGTGGCGGGCTACCCGCTCGTCCTCTGTTCTCGGCTCCAGTTGTGAGGCTGAGATCTACGCAGGAGCCATGGCTGCACAGGAGCTTCGCTGGCTCACCTACCTGCTGACTGACCTTGGAGAGCCGCCTCGTTCTCCTACAGTGCTGTACGTAGACAACAAGGCCATGCTGGCCTTGTGTCGGGAGCAAAGACTGGAGCACAGAACGAAGCACATTGCTCTTCGCTACTTCCTTGCTCGTGAGCTACAGCAGCGTGGTCAGCTGCGTCTTGCGTACGTGGCCTCTCAGGCCAACACTGCTGATATCTTCACCAAGGCACTTGCGCCTTGTGATCATCAGCGCTTCTGTACTCAGCTTGGTCTTGTGCCTGCCTTGCCTCACTTGCTCACCCCTTGACCTTGTTTGTACTGTTTCATATATATATACACCTGCTCTTGCTTGTCTAGCCTTATATATATATGTAATCCTGCATGTAAACTGGCCTTCTGGCCTTGAACTTGTGCTCGGAATGTGTGGTGACTTTGTGATCCACCCTGAGCTTGCCTTGCTTTGCTTGACTGGTCTTGTGACCCATTGTTCTCCCCCACTTTGCCTATGGGGGTGTGTCAGATTTATATGACATAGCTGCTGTAGGCTGTAGTGGGGTAGCACATATGGGGTACAGTTTTCTAGGGTTTGTACTTGTACCCAACTTTCCCTTAGTCAATCTCATTCCTCGACATTTCACACTTGCCTTATCCACTGCGGTGGTAAGGATATTTTGCAACAGAGGTGTTTTTCACATTGCTGTGGTTGTAAGATCTATTGAAGAAATTTCTCCTTTGGAGAAAATCTTGGTTATTCACTGCGGTGATAACAATTTGCAGTGGATCTGTAACTCACTTTTATAATACAGTGACTTTGCTCTAAATGGCTTCTACCAACTCCAATGCTGGTGGTGTTGAAGGCACCAACTCCCATGCTGAACTGGAAGCTTGTGTGCAGAAGATTGACCTGAACAACATGGACGAGGAAATGGCTGAAAAGGAACCTGCTGAAAACTCCCCTGCCAAGAACCTTCCAGCTGCTGAAGATTCCAAGGAGCAGGAAGAGGAGTCCCAGGAGGATGACATTGAGTTGGAAGGGGAAGAGGACATCCTGCATGCTGAAATTGCTAAGCTGCAGGATCATGCTGCTGAGCAGGATACGCGCATCCAGCAGCAGCAGTCACTCATTACCAACCTCAACAAGGAGCTCTCTGACCAGGACAACAAAATCAAGTACCTGGAAGTTGAGCTCAAGAACATGAAGCACGACGCACGGGGGCACGTTCATCAGCTGGCGAGGCAGACCTCAAAGATCAACGAGCTGCGCGAGGCTTTCAGTGCCCTCTGACGGGAAACCATGTATCGCCCTGCACCACGAGCGGACCCGCCTGCCAACTCTGCTAGCGGTCGCACCAACCCTTCTCGCTCTGGTGGTGTAGTGGGTGACCCTGGTCCTTCTACGCAGCGTGCTGCTGAGCCGAGCACGCAGGCTTTTGGCTCTCTGCCAATCACCCTACCGCCATTCATCCATGGCAAGACGGACGTGGCTGCGTGGTTGTCGATGATGACCGACCTGTTCAAGGCGCACAAGGTCCAAGACGACGCTCGCGTCGTCGCTGCCACCACCGTGCTGGACCAGAATGCACAGCGAGTGGTGTATGGCAGCAAGATCCAGGCTGAGGCGGATAGGAAGCCGTTTGGGTGGGAGGAATTCGCCTCTGCACTCAAGCAAGCTTTCCAGGTCCAGCCGACCCAGCTGGAGGTGCGCAGTCGCCTTGAGAAGCTGCAGTGCGGGAACCGCACAGTGCAGCAGTACGCCGTGGAGTTCGAGGAGATTTGGGTGCTCCAGAAACCGGCGGAACGTATGAGCGAAGGCGAAAAGATCCATCTGTTCTTCAGGGGGCTGCCTGAGCACCTCAAGAACATGCATATGACGGATGGGGCTGGGGAGGCATGGAGGTCCTATGATCACGTGAAGCGCGTGGTGGGGACCACTGATAAGCACTTCCGTGCTTATGCCAAAACCACTACCCAGCCGCAGCAGGCCTCAAGGCCATCTTATAGCACTGCGGGCCCAAGTGGAAGGCAGCAGGGAACGCCTTGGAAGGGCGGGAACCACAAGAGGTCCTTCCAGCAGGGACAGCAGGCTGACCACAAGGCCAAGAAGGTCAACGAGGGTGGACCAAGAAATGTCCAGAGCTGCTTCAAGTGCGGCAAGCCGGGACACAAGGGCTACGAGTGCCGCCACCGCAAGTCGGTGAAGTACTCTGGCAAGGCTAAGATGGACAACAGGCGCAATGACGGCAGTGGTCCCTCGGGCAGCCAGCGGGATTTTGCAAAGCCCAACTAGGGGGTGGGTACCTAGCGGGCATAGTAGATCGAGAGGATGAGGCAGTGGTCCTGCGGGATGAGGAGTTATTGAAACTCGAGTGCCTTGTTGATTGCAAAATTGCATGTGTGTATGCATTTTCTTTTAATGAAAGCTCTTTGTTTGCCTCTCGATTTCACCCACTGGAAAATATCACAGTTGAATCATTACGAGATAAATTCTCACTTATATTTTGTGATCACCATAATTTGCCTTGGATAATGGATGTGGTGGGTCGTTGCACCCAAGCGCACCCTCTAACTGCGGTTGGAATGGTAACGCGCACTGTTCGAGGTAAATTGTTTCGAGCACTTCAAGGATGGAGCGTGTTAGCGCAGTGGGATAAGGGACACCATGTGTGGTGGACACAAGCTCGTTCTTTTGGACGCAGCAAGCACGGCATAAAGGCATACTATTTGCCTCCCACTGATATTACAGCATGTCCTATTCGACCCAAACATCAGCAAAGCCTTTTGTTTTCGGGTCGCGTAATTGGGCGCAGTGCCTCGATCCTGGTTGATACAGGAGCAACTGCGTCATTGATCGATGAGAAGTGGATGGGATATTTGAATGTTCCTGTTCAAGGACCATCTTGTTCTATCCGCCTAGGGGATGACAGGATCATTCCATGCAGAGGACATGCGTTGGTCAACCTGGATATCCAAGGATATCAGGAGACCATCAGCGTTTTTGTCTTACCCCTCCTAGCAGGCATAGACATTGTCTTGGGAATGGATTGGCTGCGGCCTAATGAGGTGATATTAAATTTCCAAGATAACATGCTTTCCTTCACAAATAATGGGACGACGTTTCAATGGCAAGTCCCAAAGCGCCAAGCACTGGACGACAAACCTCAAACATTAGCTCTTGACGTACACTTTGTGTCGGCTCTCCAATTCAAAGAGCATGTCAAGGAAGCTGGTACACTTTTTGTTGTACAGCTAGACTTCGAACCAACTACTTCACAGATTTTTGAGGATTTCCCACCTCAAATGAAGGCGTTGGCAGAGGAATATTCTGAGGTTTTTGAGCCAATTCCGGACGGGTTACCTCCTGACCGTGCAGTTGGCCACACCATCCCGGTGGAACCAGGAAAGGCACCACCATTTAGACCTCTATATCGCCTCAGTCCAACTGAGTACGACGAGGCTAAACAACAGATTGAGGAATACCTCAGGAAGGGATGGATAGAACCTAGCGCGTCCCCATATGGAGCGCCTATCTTGTTTGTTCACAAGAAGGGAGGTGGACTGCGCATGTGCGCCGAATATCGAGCCCTGAATAAAATTACGATCAAAAACAGATATCCACTTCCGCGGATAGTAGATTTATTTGATCGACTACAGGGTGCGCAATGGTTCAGTGCATTGGATTCGGCGCAAGGGTATCACCAACTGCGTATAACAGAGGACGATGTTCCAAAGACGGCTTTCCGTTCGCCGTTCGGCCATTTTCAGTGGCGTGTGTTAAGTTTTGGTTTGACCAACGCTCCGGCCTCTTTCCAGAGGGCGATGAACGATGTGTTTCGTGATGCGATTGGCCAGTTCGTTTTGGTGTACCTCGATGACATCCTGGTATACTCAAAGACTGAAGACGAGCATACGGAACATCTGAAATGGGTCCTCGGAAAATTACGCGAGCATAAATACTACGCGCGTTTGTGGAAATGCCATTTTTACAAACGTGAGCTGGAGTATTTGGGGCACGTAGTGGGGCACAACGGTCTGAAAGTGGACCCCAAGAAGGTAGCAGCTGTCCAGGAGTGGCCCGTCCCACGCGGCGTTGGCCAAGTTCGATCATTCTTGGGCCTGGCGAATTATTTTCGACGCTTCTTGGAAAAATATTCCACGATAGTCGCTCCCCTCACGGCATTGACCCGGAAAGGGTGTGCATGGGAGTGGACTCCACAGTGCCAAAAGGCCTTCGAAGAGGTCAAGCATAAATTAACCAACGCACCAGTTTTGGTGTTGCCAAACCCACAAAAACCATATGAGGTGGTTACGGACGCCTCAACGGTGGGACTTGGTGCAGTACTACTGCAAGAAGGACGCCCTGTGGCATTTGAGAGTAGAAAACTCTCCCCGGCAGAGCAACGCTACACGACAACCGAACAAGAGTTGTTGGATGTCGTGCATGCGCTAAGAACATGGCGATGTTACTTGGAAGGGGTAGAATTCGTGGTCACCACTGACCATTGTCCGAACACATATTTTTCTACCCAAGCTACCCTCACTCGTTGTCAGGCCCATTGGGCTGAACTCCTTAGTGGGTTCAGTTTCGACATTCGTTATCGTGCAGGTTCCACGAACCTGGCTGACCCCCTCAGCAGACAGCCGATAGGGGCAGCAACCGGGCTTGACGATACCGAACATGCGGCTGTTTTTGCTGCATGTTTTGGCATACTAGCTGTGGCGAAAGTGAGCGAGATCGCGTTCAGTGGTTTTCTGAAACGAATTTGTACAGGATATTATATTGATTCCTAGTTCCAGAACCCACAAAACACCAGACATTTGACATGGGAACACGATCTTTGGTGGCGAACAAAAGAGATTGCGGTACCTCAGGTAGGCAATCTGCGGAACGATATTTTGGAAGAGGTGCATGCCACTAAATATGGGGGACACTTGGGCATGAATAAGACCCGATGGGCCCTACGAGATGTGTATTGGTGGCCAGGAGTCGGTAGTGATGTCTAACAGTTTGTGGCACGTTGTGACACGTGCGCACGTAACAAACCGGACACACAGAAGCCTGGTGGTTTGTTTCAACCACTTGAAATTCCGAGTAAACCTTGGGAAAGCGTTTCACTGGATTTCATCACCGACCTCCCAAGTACCCGTGATGGGTATACGGCGATACTCGTCTTTGTAGATCGCCTTACAAAAATGGTGCACTTCGTACCCACGACAACAGACGTGTCAGCAGAGGATACTGCTCGGTTGTTCGTGACACATGTGTTCCGCCTACACGGATTGCCACGTGTATTAGTGTCTGATCGCGACCCGCGCTTCACGAGTCGGTTCTGGCATGAAGTAACCGAGACACTAGGAACGAAGCTTAAGATGTCGTCAGCGTTCCATCCCCAGACAGATGGGCAAACGGAACGGACTAACCGCACTCTCGAGCAGATGCTCGTTCTTTCATAAGCCCAACACAGGACAATTGGGATGAGTTGTTACCCATGGCCGAGTTTGCAGTTAACAACTCAGTGCATGATAGCACACATGAAAAACCATTTATCCTGAACTGTGGTCGGCATCCCACAACACCTGCTACGCATGGGATCGGCGGTTTGAAATTACCTGCCGCAAAGGATTTTGTGGGCAAGCAACGAGAGGCCCTAAACTCGGCACATCGTTGGTTGCAATTAGCCCAACAAAGGCAAAAATCCTATGCCGATATGAAACGCCGGGAAATCTCGTTCTCCGTTGGAGACAAAGTTTTGTTAAGCACGAAGAATATTCGGCTTAAGATCCCTGGTGCGAGAAAGTTGTTCCCTCGCTGGATTGGGCCCTTTGAGGTGATTCAACGAGTTGGTGCGGTAGCTTACAAGCTCAAGTTACCTGATACCCTTTAGATTCACAATGTCTTCCATGTGTCTCTGTTAAGCAAGTACGTTGCAGGAGGCAAGAACGTACCACCACCAACAATCGTCCTAGGGGAGGAACTATACTATGAAGTCGAACGAGTGCTTTTGCATCGTGATCGACAACGCGGCCGCAAGACTGTACGAGAGTTCCTCATTAAGTGGAAAGGCTATGGGCCTGAACACAACTCATGGGAGCCGGAAGAACATTTGACTGATACTGCGGTTCAGTCCTACATGGAAGACCTGGCTCAACGAGCACTCCCACAACCAGCGGATGGTGTTGACCCTGGTCGTAATGTGGTTCGTCGTGCTCGCAGCACTCGTCCTAAGAAGCACCCCACGGCAACGAGGACGTTGCCAGCTGGAGGGGGAGGAGTGTAACATCCGTACCCACTCACCCTTGGTCTCGATACATCGAACCAGATGTGAAAGGGACAGTGGGTTGAAATGTGATTGGTCACGAATTGAAGGGAAGCGAGACTTACGGGGAAATTGGGATTGATTGGAAAACCAACCTATCAGGTCGTCCCTACAAAACTGAACCTACAAAATTGGTTTGAGTGGTTCAAAACACAACCCACGTAAGTTCAACTCAGCACAATTCAACCAATCCGAAAGCAACCCCAAAAGTGAGTCGACAGCATTTCCGCCGCTCACTGCAAGTCCAACCAATGACAAACAAATACAGGTTTGTGACTGCTGTACAATTCTTATCCTTGCTATCTAAAATATAATTGGTTGAGAACCTTGTTTGTTGCCACATGGGCAAGGCCCAAGGGACTGCACCCCTCCTTGCCATGGGGAAGGTGGCTGCACCCCAAGGGGGTCTAGGGAAGGGGTCTGAAGCCTCTGGGCTCATTCTTCATTTCCTACTCCCAACTAATCAATTGGGAAATAGGATTGTCTTCTCCTCAACTCACCCTCCAAGATTTGTTACTGCATTTTCCCAGCAACTCTCAGACTTAGTCATTTCCAGGAGCTGTTACTCTCTGGTTGTACTAGAAGCTATTAATATATGGGTAAATGCCCTTTTTCTTAGTAGATTCGTTACACGCGAGGAGCAGCGGCTATGGCGCGTGGGGCAAGCAGCGCTCATAGGCGGGACAGCCGGCTGCGGCAGCGGGGGAAACAGCAACGTCGATGCGAACAGCAAAGGCTGAACCGGCGGCGGTGGCGGCGGCGCGAAGAGGCAGTGGAAGCCCGCGCCAGTTGCACTCCGCCTGGATCATCTCCTCTCCAGCGCCGGCGCCACCACCGCTGCTACCCGCGAGCCCCTTCCGCCGCCTCCTCGAGAGCCCGCACACCGGGCTGATGGGCGCGCGCCAGTGTGCGAGGGTGCGCAGATGGGGGCAGTAGTGACGCGGGGCCGTGTGGACAGGGCAGGAGAGGCGGAGCGGGGAGGGGAGGCGCAGGGAGGGGAGGGGAGAGGGGGGATATGGCCGCACGTGGTTTGGGTTAGGCAGAAACGTGGGGAGGGATGGGAGAAGGGGGAGCAAGGGGTGGCGCAGGAGGGTGGAGGAGGGGAGAAGGGACAGGCGGAGGAGTGGGGAAGGGCGGGAGAGAGAGAAGGGGGGAGATTGCGCGCCAGGGGCTACAAAGGGGGTCAGGTGGGGGGAGGCGGATAGAGGGGCGCGAGTGGGGGAAGGAAGGAGAACGCGGATGGGAGGGCGCTGGAAGCGCTGGTGCATTGGTGTGAATTGATGTACCAGCAACTTGGGAGAGCATGGGTGTGAGGCGTGCGAAGGAGAGGCAGACACTGACGGAGAAGTATTGAAACGCATGGTGCTGCAGGCGAGACAGGCTCGGGGGAGGGGGAGGCCAGGAAAGGTGAGGGGGGGAAGGGGGAGATGGGGGAGGGTGTTGCGGGGGAATGGGATGGGGGAGGGGGAGGGGGAGGGGGAGGGGGAGAGGGGAGGGGATGGTGATGGTAGTGCACCGTGCGCCTTGTCATGGCAACCCCTTTTACACGGCCCTGCCTCAAACCACCCAGGTACGTCCACTGCTGGCCACACAAACACAAACACTACTCCCCCGTCCCTCACACCCGCCTCCTCCCAACCTTCCTTCCTTCCTGCCCTCCCCTCTCCTCTAGCCAAACCCCACCGGAGCTCAATATTCCCCAACAACCCAAGAGGGTTGTTGAGCTCACCGGAGCTCAACATGCTGGCGAATGCGCTGGTGGGCAGGGCTGCGACTCCATGCCCCCTGTCTCCCCCCCATCCCCCCCATACCCCATCTCCCCTGCTGGCAGGGCTGCTGGGTCCATACTCCATACCCCCTTCCCCAACGCCACCTTTTTCTTCTGTCTGTCTGTGTCTCTTCCCCCCTCCACACCCTCCTTCTACCCCCCCACCGGTACGCCCACCAGGTGGTCACACCGGAGCTCAATGCGCTAGTGGCTGCACTGCTGGCAGGGCGTTTCAGAAAGACCCCCTCAAGGTGAGACTGGGGGGGATGGATGGCATGGGAGGGGGAAATAACTAGGGGGGAAAGGGGCATGTTGCAATTCCAAGTTAGGGTGTTCCAGAAAGACAATAATGCTGGGGGGAATTAGCATAGGATGGGGAATTGGCATGGGGAAAAGGGGCATGTTGCGGTTTCATTTCAGGGCGTCTCAAAAGGACCCCCTTAAGGTGAGCCCTGGCCTTGCCACCCACTCTCCCCACCCCGTTTGCAGTCACGGCAGCGTGCCACCCTCTCATACCTCATGATGAGCTCTCACGTTGCACCACTTCACCAAGCCCACAATAGTTACGCTCTTTGGTCCACTCCAAAATCCCTCCCACCTTTCTAAGCCTTGTCACTGCACAACTCCACCTGACGCTGCACCACCCCACCAAGCCCTGACTCACTCCACCAAGCCCTCACTCACTCCACCAAGCCCTCACTCACTCACTCCACCAAGCCCTCACTCACTCCACCAAGCCCTCACTCACTCCACCAAGCCCTCACTCACTCCACCAAGCCCTCACTCACTCCACCAAGCCCTCACTCAGTCGACTAAAAAACCTTCCCCACTTCCACCTCATGCTATCCCCTGACGTTGCCATGCCTCGTGCAGTCACTTGGCCACCCCGGGTAGGGCAAAGACAAATGCCACGTACCCCCTCCCCTCGTCCCATACCACGTCTCCTCCCATACTCCTCCCTTCTCTGCGTCCCTCCTCCCTCTCCATTTCCCCTTTCCGCGTTCACGTCCCCCCTTCTCCATCCATCTCCGCTCTCCCCATCTCACATGGGTACACAAAAGGAGAAGGGGGGATAAAGAAACCTCGAAGGGGTTTTTCACACAAAAGGAGGTTTCTCGTTTCCCCTTCACAGCATCCCTCCACCGTTCCCATTCCCCTTTCCCCATGCTCCTCACTCATCCCCCCCATACGCACTCCCCTAACATTGCAGCGGCGGGTGCTAGCGGGGTTGAGAGAGGTCCCTCCTTCCTCCTCCACAGCACCCTTCCCCTTTACTCCCCCCATCCTTTCACCAGGGAGCGATGCAGCAGCAGGTGCTATCGGGGCTGATGGAGATCCCATCTCTCGCCTACCTCCTCCCTTCTCCAGTCTTCCCCTCAACTTCCCAACGACGCATGGGGGCAGGGAGCGGTGGCTCAGCGTGCTGTCAAGGTAAACGGACGTGGGGTAGGCGGTGCAGGGCTGAAGGAGAGGAGATTGCGCCTTCCTCTTCCCTCCTCCCGCATGCACAGGTTGTGATGCGACGCCGCGTGCTGGCAGGGCTGAAGGAGGTGGGGCTGAAGGAGGTGGTGCAGGGCCTGACACAGCCTCAGGCGCTCTTGACACAGCCTCTCGTCCATCCCATCACATGCCCTTGTGCTCGGATCCCCGTGTTCTTGGCTCTCTCCAGACCCGCTTGGTGAAGGTGCGTGCAGGCAGAGGTGGGGCGATGGTGCCATTATCTTTGCATGCATGAGGGTCATTGGGTGCATGCATGCAGCATGTGTGCCATTATCATTGCATGCATGCAGCATGTGTGCCATTATCATTGCATGCTTGCAGCATGTGTGCCATTATCATTGCATGCTTGCAGCATGTGTGCCATTATCATTGCATGCTTGCAGCATGTGTGCCATTATCATTGCATGCTTGCAGCATGTGTGCCATTATTATTGCATGCTTGCAGCATGTGTGCCATTATCATTGCATGCTTGCAGCATGTGTGCCATTATCATTGCATGCTTGCAGCATGTGTGCCATTATCATTGCATGCTTGCAGCATGTGTGCCATTATCATTGCATGCTTGCAGCATGTGTGTGGTCGTGCCTCTCTCCCAGTGCCATCTGCCACCTGGCCAAGGTAATTTGGCCAACGTGACGGGATTCCAGGTCAAGGTGGGGAGCAGGGGGAGTGCATGTGTGAGAGATAATGCACGCGGCATACCTGTCATGGTGGCTCTCTCCAGGTGCCGCCTGGCCAAGGTGAGTGCGCCGTGTAGTTAGACCAAAAGGGGGGTGGTTGGGGGAAAGGTGGCTGAAGGTGGAGGAATGTGGTGCCTCTCTCCAGACAGCAACTTGCCAAATGACGGCACGCCAAGGTGGGGAATGGGGGGAGTGTGCTTGGTTAAGCTGGTTCGGCCGATTCGGCTGGTTAGGCTGGGTAGGCTGGTCAGGCTGGGTAGGCTGGTCAGGCTGGGTAGGCTGGTCAGGTTGGGTAGGCTGGTCAGGCTAGGAGCAAAGGAGATGTGAGGCGCAATGGGCCATTCGCAAGGGGGGTTTGGGGAGGAGGGGGAGCAGGCAAGAACTGAGCACACGCACCTGTTTCCCTACATGGGTTTTTGGGGTGCCTGGGAGGAAACAGACGGTCGCTTTGGACCCTACCTTGACAATGGGATACAAACATCAGTCCCCACAGTTGGTGTTGCAAAGAACTCAGGCTGGAATGTAAGTGTATGTCCACAAAGAACTTCCCGCTCCCACCACCACCTCTGCCATGCAGGATAAAGAGTCTGTAGGGGCAGCAGAAGGTCCAGTCAACCAGGCTGGAACAAAGACTCGCTACGGTCGAACGCGAGGGGGTCATGACAACAACCTCCCTCTTGCCCCTTCACTCCCACCGCCCTCTCACTCCCACCGCCCTCTCACTCCCACTGCCCTCCCACTTCCACCACCATCCCACTCCCACCCACCACCATCTCTGCCATGCAGGAAACAAAGTCTGGTTGGGCAGCAAGAGGTCCACCAGGCAGGCTGCAGTCAACTGTAGCTTCATGCGGGGGAGAATAAGTATCAACAACAACCCAATGTGGACAGTTTGAGTTGTGTGCATCTTCGTCTATAAACTGATGGAAGCGGTATGTGTAAATTACGTATTTCCAATGCATTAGCAAAGTTGGTCTGCGTTGTAGCGCGTGAATGATTTTGGTTGAACTTGGCAAGTGAGGTTGTAGAAGTTGCATAGAAATCAATTGGGGCTATTTAATAAATCTACGTAGAACTAGGCTCATCAAGTTGAGTTTGTATAAGGAATTAGGTATAATTTCGCACTGTAGTCTTATTACTTCAGCTTGTATGTTCCGAGGAGTTCGCTTCAACTGGTTCGGCCTACAATTTCGCCCCGAACCACTTTCAAATCGCCACCGCACGTTACGTCACATCCCGAGCCTCCTTACCCCGAGGTCCTCGCCTAGCTCGACTCAGCCTATTTGTATCTCGTTTTAGACATGCATAGGGCATTCTGGTAGTATTCTGCAGTTTACAGTCTGTGAAACCTCCGCACCACTACAGTGTTTCATATCGTTACAACATTTATCGCACTAGCGAGAGCCAGGAAGGCAACAGCTGAACGTCTCATTGAGTCCCCACTGCGACGAGAGTGCGACGGATAGTAACTCGATAGCGGTCGCGTCGGAGCGACAGCCAGGGCGACGAGAGCGAGAAGAGCCAATTTGCGATGGCGGAGAGCCGTGACAGCAGAGCGCGAGGAGCAGCCGCAATGGCGGGGTGGCCAGCAGGAGGCGCAAGCCTGACACACGTCATAATACAGTGGCGACACAACTTCATGGGCAGTCAAAGGACGTTTGGAGCGTCAGGTAGTGGCGCAAACGCTGCTGCGTTAGAGCGATAGACTGACGAGAGAGCGATGGCCCCGATAGAGAACGACGGATTGCGAGAAAAAACGGCGGACTGCGACAAGAGAGTGACGGACTGCAGCGACTGTCGACGGCGAGAGAGCAACAGTAGACGCGAGGAGAAGCGACAATGGCGCGTGGGGCAATCGCGAGCGCGCAGGTGGGGCTCCCAGCGGTGGAATCGGCAGAGACAACGGCGGCGATGGCGGCGACAGCGTCGCTGCGAGCAGCAAAGGCCGGAGTGGCGGCGGCGGGAAGACGAGGTGGAAGCCCACGCCGGTCGCGCTCCGCCTGGACCACTTCCTTACCGCCACCACCGCCGTCGTCCCTGCCGCCAGCGCTGGTGCCACCGCCACCAACCCTCTGCGCGCGCGCCTCTACTGCCGTCTCCATGAGAGGCCGCAGAATTTAATTCGCGCGCCAGTGGGAGGGGGAGAGCAGACTGAGGCAGCCGTGACTGGCGGCCGCGCGGGTAGGGAAGGGGAGGCGGAGCGGCGAGGGGAGGTGCAGGGAGGGGAGGGGGAAGTGAGGATGCGGGCGCGCGTGGCTTGGGCTTGGCGGAAACGAGGCGAGGGATGGGAGAAAGGGTAGCAGGGGGCGGAGCAGGAGGGCGGAGTGGGGAAGGAGGGGCAGACGGCGAAGTAGAAGCGAGTGAGCAGCTTGAAACGCATGGTGGTGCTGGCGAGACAGGCGCGAGGGGGGGAGGGGAGAGAGGGGAGAGGAAGAAGGGGGGTGCGGATGTAACGGTAGAGGAGGTGAGGAAGCAGGAGGGAATGGGGGAGGGAGAGGAGTAGGAGGAGGAGGAGGAGGAAGGAGAGGTAGAAAAAGAAGGGCGTGTGACGAATGGGGATAGAGGGGCGGGGACTATGTCGGCGCTGGTTTGGAGCATGGGGGAGGAATGGTGATGGTGGGAGGAATGGAGGAGGCACAGGATGGGTGGAACATGAGAGGCGTGCAGGGGGGCTTGCTGCCACGGTGGTTGGGGTGGAAAAAGCGTGGGAACGGTCAGAGGGGGGAGAGAGAGGGGGGGGGGTGGGGGTAAGATTAGGGGAGGGTGGAATGGAGGGCAGGGGGGAGGAGGGGAGGGCGGTGGGAGATGAGGAAGCGGAGTGCTTGGGAGAGCCGCAGAAGGGAGAAAATGGAGGGGAGAGTGAACTTGCTGGAGTTGAGGTGGATGGGAAACGAGTGGGTAGGCGAGGGAGGAGGAAGGGAGGAGAGAAGGTCGGGGAGGAGACGGGAGGGGTGGAGAAGAAAGGGAAGAAGATGGGAGGGGAGGAGAAGAGAGGGAAGGAGATGGGAGGGGAAGAGAAGAGAGGGAAGGAGATGGGAGGGGAGGAGAAGAGAGGGAAGGAGATGGGAGGGGAGGAGAAGAGAGGGAAGGAGTTGGGAGGGGAGGAGAAGAGAGGGAAGGAGATGGGAGGGGAGGAGAAGAGAGGGAAGGAGATGGGAGGGGAGGAGAAGAGAGGGAAGGAGATGGGAGGGGAGGAGAGGAGAGGGAAGGAGATGGGAGGGGAGGAGAAGAGAGGAGAGCTGAAGGAAGGGAAAGAGAAAAGGGGAAGAGAGCAGTGCGGTAAACGGCAAACTCAGCCGACTACTTACATCGGCGTGGAGGCAAGCAACAGGTGAGGAAAGCAACAGGTGAGGAATGCAGCAGGTGGGGCAAGCAGCAGGTGGGAGGGGGAATTGGCGTGGAGGGGGGGAGTGGCTATGGGAGGAAAGGGGCATGCTGCGGTTTCAAGTCAGGGCCTCTCAGAAGGACGCCCTCAAGGTACACTCCCCTTAATGTAAGCCATCTGCGCCCTCCCCATCCCCCCTTCCCCCAATCCATCCCCCATTCCCCTCCCCATCCCCTCTTTAACCTTCACATCCCCCTTTCTTTTTCTCCCCTCTCCCCCCACGTAACTCCTCCCTCCTCCGAACACCCAGGGAGCAATGCGGGGGTGGGTGCTGCTGGAGCAGTGCAGTGCTCAAGGAGATTTTCGTTCCCTTCTCCCTCCTCACCCCACACACACGGATCAATGTGATTGCCTTCCCCCTTTCCGCCTGCTCATCCCCATCACCCCCAACCTCCCCTTCACACAGAGCAATGAGGCGGCGGGTTCTGGCAGGGCTCAACGAATTCTCTCCTTCCGCTCGACAGCCCTTTTTTTTTACCCGTCTCGTCTCCCTTTTCTCACACAGAGCGCTGCAGGGGGGGGTGCTGGCAGGACTGAAGGCGGTGGAGGTCTTCAGATCCATCAACAAAGTTTCTGGAGTTACTGGCTGCTTACATTGCCAAGGAATGCTACTGCAGGCTCCAAGTTTCCTTTGTCTTGGAATCGGATGCGGAAGTGGTGAAACGCGAAGACGTGATTTACCAGCGGCTGAAAGGGGAACCGCTGACGCTGCACTGGCAGCACACGGAAGATGCAGCATACTCAAGGTAGAAGGCTCTCAATCTGAATGCTATTGAAGTAATCCTCAAAGGAGTCTCGGCTTCAGTTTAGCTGGATATGATTACGAGGAGGATGTCGAAGTACCTGCTTACAAGTCGCAAGCAGCCGGCTTTTTCACGAAGCTCCTGCTTCCACCGCGTGCTGCACCCCATCACCGGCGCAGATACTGACGTCGTCAAGGGTCTGGTTTACGTTCAACCAGGCGACAAGCACCGTTGGCTGCATGCGATCGCTGACCCGGCCAATAACGCGAACAAGCTCATGATCCATTACCCCACGCTATCTTGCGCGCTCTGTGGTGGCCAGCACTATGATAAGTATCATAATGCTTACATCACTGAACGCCAAAATAACGTAGGGAAATGGAACTTGACCCTTGGGAAAACTCACAGGCTCAACGGTAACAGATCTCTGCGCCGGCCTCTAACCATCGCGCTTTCGCTTTCGCTTTCCTTATCATTTACTGACCTTTCGCTTGAATCTCGCAACTGCATCCCTGCTGGCCACGCCGCTTGTCCTCCCCCTCCTGCAAGTCCTTGCTCTGGCACTGATTTCTACGGGAAGCAACAGGGAGGAGTGGTTATGCACCCAGGCGGGTTGCATGAAGGCTCATGGAAAATGCTTCATGACATCGTCAGATCACATCCAAGCCCTCACATTCACTTTTAGAGACCCTGATGCATCAGGGTCCCTGTGAAAAAAAAGGCTGATTGTCAGTGTTCCTAAAAACAAAAGCCTGAAATTTCAGGGTTCCTAAAAAGAAAGCCTGATTTCTTATTATTCACATATCTAGTTACGAAATGAAAGGGCCCAACCAATTATGACGGCACAGGGAATCGAATCGAGACCTTCCCTTTCGGAAGAGATTACAGTAACGATTGGAAGAGTTTATCCTGTCGAAGGAAAATGTTCTCAATACCGTATCACCCCGGATAGAAGCGCAGGCCTATTTTAAGCACATGCACTTCTATCTAGAGCAATGCGCTTATGGCCGATCCTCAATTATAAGCGCACCCCCTGTGAAAACGTTATTTATTATAAGCGCATGTGCAGTTTTAAATTAAAATTTCTGTTCGAAACGGTAGCGAGTTTCAGTTTTGAAGCGAGTACAATCTCATTTTCGCTGAGTTTGACTCTCGAAGACTTGACTGGCTGCGCGTCCAGTCAGGATATGCTAGCATTGTTGAGATAATATCGAGGTTTATGCACTTCAAGAAATTCGTGTAGTATAGTTAGTACAGTAAAAGTACCGATAGACTGACGTCAGCAAAGTGCTACGCGCCCTAGGATGACGTCATCAGTAGCTGTAGGTATCGCGAATAGTCACGTACCGTTTCAGAACAGGAATAGCGCGAATAAATACAGCACAGTAGGCGAACAGGTACTTTAGTCTAGCTATATATTCTGTATGCTTGTCATTTTATAATATACTTGATTTCAGAGAAATTGATCCTGTTACAAGTCACTCATATAAGACTTCCGCTACGACAGGAAGCTACCATCCTAAGACTACGATCCTATTCAGACAGTTTAAATTCTAACATGGTATGAGAGCAACTTAGGATTATAACAGCTTCCACCTGCCTACTCTACAACTATGTCTGGATCTCCAAGGTCCAACAATGGCTCTTCTGTTACGAGCCCATCACGCCCAACAGCGTCTCCAGCTGCTGATAATTCACATCTGCAGCAACAACAACAGCAAAAACAACAATATCAGCAACAACCGATGTACGGCATGCCATTGAGCAGTCAGCCCGTACACACAACTACCGCAGCGGCATCATCGACAGCAGCCGCCGCAACAGCAGCATCAGCAGCCTCAACAGCTGCAGCTGCAGTCCCTGGTTCTTCAAGTCAACCGGGACAACAGTCTAACTTCGTTCCGACTGGACCTTACCAATATCGAGGTGCTTACCAACCAGCAAATCTTCAACAACGTGTTAATGCTGCCGTCTTGTCACTTAACCAGATGTTTCCAACTCCGATGAGCATTGATGGCTCCAGTTATCAGCGTGGTCAGATGCCACAAGGAAGTGATGGGTCGAACAACTCTTTCTCCTTTGGTCCTACTGGACAAGGACAACAAACACAACAAGGGTCACAAGTGCCATCACTTTATCAGCTACAATCTGTCAGAACATTATATAGCTTATGCTGTTGTGTAGGCCATAGTGGGGTATCCCATAGGGGGTACAACCCAATTAGGGTTTCCTATATGTACTCACCTCATTCATAGTTCATCCATCCTCGTTCTTCATTCTTCTCATGGTATCGAGCAGGTTCCCTCGTGGGAACTGTTCCTAGGGCCCACCGTTTTTTTTTCCTGCCCGGAGCGCACTCTGCCCCTACCCGAGTCGCGCTCCCCTCTCTCTTGGCCCCTAGTGGCCCCTTTAGCCGCCCGTCACGGCCCTTAGACGCCCGCGCGCCGCCCGTCCCGGCCCCTTAGACGCCCGCGCGCCGCCCGTCCCGGCCCCTAGACGCCCGTGCGCCACCCGGCCCGGCCCCTAGACGCCCGCGCGCCGCCCGTCCCGGCCCCTAGACGCCCGCGCGCCGCCCGTCCCGGCCCCTAGACGCCCGCGCGCCGCCCGTCCCGGCCCCTCGACGCCCGCGCGCCGCCCGTCCCGGCCCCTCGACGCCCGCGCGCCGCCCGTCCCGGCCCCTCGCCGCCCGTGAGCCGCCCGTCCCGGCCCCTAGACGCCCGCGCGCCGCCCGTCCCGGCCCCTAGACGCCCGCGCGCCGCCCGTCCCGGCCCCTAGACGCCCGCGCGCCACCCGGCCCGACCCCTAGACGCCCGCGCGCCGCCCGTCCCGGCCCCTCGACGCCCGCACGCCGCCCGTCCCGGCCCCTCGACGCCCGCGCGCCGTCCGTCCCGGCCCCACGCCGCCCGTGAGCCGCCCGTCCCGGCCGCGCACCGCAGTCCCGGCCCCACGCCGCCCGTGCGCCGCCCGTCCCAGCCGCGCGCCGCCGTCTCGGTCCCCACGCCGCCTGTGCCGCTGAGGAGCTGAGCCGCCCGAGCCGCCCGAGCCGCCCGCACCGCCCGAGCAGCCCGAGCCGTGCTGCCCCTCAGCAGCACAACCGAGCCGCCCGACAGCAGAGCAGCCGAGCCGCCCAGGAGCCGAGCCGCCCAGCAGCCGTGCCGCCCAGCAGCGGAGCCGCCGAGCCGCCGAGCCGCCCGGCAGCCGAGCCGCCGAGCCGCCGCGCCGCCCTCCTTCCGGGCCGCCCGACCTGTCCAGTCTGGTGAGCACAGCGCCCTTTCACTGCACTGCCCTCACCCTACTGTTTGCGCTGCCAGTCGTCTAGGGTCATGGCTACCCCTAGTGTTCTAGTCTTTGACGCTGAGGGTCGGGCCATTGACTTTGAGGTCTGGGTGGATGACCTGCAGCTGTTCTTACAGTGCGATAGGGCAGATGGTCTCTCTCTCTTTGACCTCACCTCTGGCGCCTCCACTGCCCCTGCTGCTGACACCGACGCCACTGTTCGCTCCCAGTGGGCCACGCGCGACGCTGCTGCACGTCTTGCTGTGCGTCGCCACCTCCCTACCTCCGAGCGTGCACACTTTAGTCAGTACAAGAGTGCTCAGACCTTGTACGACGCTGTAGTTGCGCGCTACTCCTCCCCTGCCACTGCTGCACTGAGCCGTCTCATGCTACCGTACCTCTTTCCTGACCTTGCTGCCTTTCCCACAGTCGCTGACCTCATTACGCACCTCCGCACTAGTGACACTCGCTACCGCGCTGCACTCCCTGCTGACTTCTGCGCCAAGAACCCCCCCCCCATGTACATCACTCTTTACTACATAGTCACTCGCCTTCCTGACTCCCTTCGCGTAGTCAGGGACCACTTTCTCTCTGTCTGTCCCACCACTCTCACTGTTGACCTCCTCGAGAAGTCCCTCCTAGCGGCCGAGAAGAGCATCGTCGCTGTAGGGGCCTCTCGTGGTGACCCGCGCACCCCCATCTTTGAGGGGTGTTCCCCCTCCCCCCTTCTGCCCTCTGTTGCCTCTGCTGCTGCGGCCGACCTCCTTGGTCTTGAGTCGGTCGGTGTGGCGTCTGCCCCTAGTGGGAGACGCCGCTCTGGCAAGGGCAAGGGGGGCAAGGGCGCTGGAGGAGCGAGCGGGGGCGGTGGAGGTGGAGGTGGCGGCAGTGGGGGGAGTGGGGGTGGCGGTGGGAGTGGAGGTGGGGGTGGAGGAGTCGGTGGCGGCAGTGGAGGCGGAGGTGTCGGTGGCGGTGGCAGTGGGAGCGGGGGTGGCGGAGGTGGCGGCGGCGGAGGCGGAGGTGGAGGCGGCGG